CTTGTCGTCGTGTAAGTTTCATTAGCACTTAAAGATGCGCGTGCACGTGGGGCGTGGAACAGCGCGCGTGTCGTTGTTCTGGAGCTGGTAGGCAGGAACAAGGCCACGAGCGCGAATCAATAAGGTGTCGGCGCACCTCGCGATTTTCACGGTCGTTTGTATATTGAATTCCAGTGGCGTTTCAAGGGCGCGCGTGGGGTTGGGGGGGGGGGGGGGCTTTAGATGTGTGCGTGGAAATGCTTTGGATGAGTTTTAGACTTGTGGTTCGCTGGGTGGCTGCAGCCTTTATTATTCAAAATGGTTATTGACTTTGTGATTCGAGCCTGCGGCAATTTGTTCGGTACCAAGGAATTTCGAAGCCATTTTTTCCGCCATTCTCGACTGGAGCTATAAATTTTTTATATTTATAGTTGGAATTGTGAGTGCCAATCGTGGTGAAAAGAAATATTAAAAAGTCGATTCGATAATGTTTTAATGAACGTGTGATATTAGATTTTTCAATCTTACTACTAGCACATTATTAGCACAATGCAAAGTGTGTAATGTCCATGTTCTATGGTAGAGGTGATGTGTATTATTGTTATTAATTAAAAGGACGTTAGCTCTTGGTGCCGAAGTTAAAATTTATAAATAATTTTTTAATCGTTGCGACATTACATGTGAATATTGTCGATTTATATGAGTTCATTGACATATTGTGACATCTAGCAATTGTAGATCTAACATTATGTATATCAATATGTTATTGTGTTTATAAGCAAATATATTCCTTAAAGCTTGAAAAGATGCGGAATTTACAATGCAAAGGAAATAAATCATTTTCCCTTTACAATTCTCGTTACAATCGGGCATACGATGATTATTTGTTTGTTTTTTTTTTATTAATTAATTTATTTATTATTATTATTATTATTATTATTATTATTACTATTATTACTTTTATTACATTATAATTACTATACTAGGCAATAGTTATCCTAATTAATAATGATTATTAAATTTATAAAAAAAAAGGCTCAGAACGTAATAATGTGCTTTTGAATATTAAAGAATTATATCAATTTTAAAAGTTTAACGCGATTAGTATTTCACTTACAAGCCTCGAAAATCAATAAGTATTATATAAAAACTACGATTGTATAATAAAGACAGCGGATACTGTCTCATAAAATTATCTGTTGTTTCAGAATTGGTCTAGCGTTGCTTTTCGTACATTTATTATTCTTACATATTCTCGTTCGGTAGCTCTAAATCTAAAAATTAAATACAAAATACATATTTGCAAATGAAAATAAATTCTTCGCTAATATTAAATTTAAAATAATAAAGATGTTTATCTTTGTACCAATATTTTAAATAATAATATTGAGTTATTGTTGAAATAACATTTACTTATTTATTAAGAGAGAGAGAGAGAGAGAGAGAGAGAGAGAGAGAGAGAGAGAGAGATAGAGCAGAATATTATTAAACTGCAAACATACTCAATTATACTACTCACATACACTGTAAAAGAATAATATTCTGTAGTATGGTAATCTAGGTCACTCGATTTTTATCTGTATAACTTTTTATAATTTCTCATACAAGTAAATTAAATATACATATAATATTACTTTATAATTCTTATATAAATACAATGCATTACATATTAGTTAAATATTTATAATACTTTTTCTTAGAAATAATAAAAAATATTAATTTTACGAACTGAAATTCAAATGTGCAGCAGTTATTCCCGCTATGCGTGTTATTTATATTATTAATTAATTAATTAATATTTTTATCGCCTATAATGTCTTTATTTAAAGTACATTATATTGGCATAATTTTTTTAATTATTTTAAATTTTTCTATAGAATTTTCAATTTTCTTTAGCTATAATCCGACAAATGAATAGTAGTTACAAATAATATTAATAATATTAATAAGAATAGATATAATTATAATGATAATAATCGTAGTAGTAGTAGTAGTAGTAGTAGTAGTAGTAGTAGTAGTAGTAGTAGTAGTAGTAGTAGTAGTAGTAGTAGTAGTAGTAGTAGTAGTAGTAGTAGTAGTAGTAGTAGTAGTAGTAGTAGTAGTAGTAGTAGTAGTAGTAGTAGTAGTAGTAGTAGTAGTAGTAGTAGTAGTAGTAGTAGTAGTAGTAGTAGTAGTAGTAGTAGTAGTAGTAGTAGTAGTAGTAGTAGTAGTAGTAGTAGTAGTAGTAGTAGTAGTAGTAGTAGTAGTAGTAGTAGTAGTAGTAGTAGTAGTAGTAGTAGTAGTAGTAGTAGTAGTAGTAGTAGTAGTAGTAGTAGTAGTAGTAGTAGTAGTAGTAGTAGTAGTAGTAGTAGTAGTAGTAGTAGTAGTAGTAGTAGTAGTAGTAGTAGTAGTAGTAGTAGTAGTAGTAGTAGTAGTAGTAGTAGTAGTAGTAGTAGTAGTAGTAGTAGTAGTAGTAGTAGTAGTAGTAGTAGTAGTAGTAGTAGTAGTAGTAGTAGTAGTAGTAGTAGTAGTAGTAGTAATATTGATGGACGACGAATGGCGTTGAACTAATTCATGATTTTTAGAAAAATTAAAAACTGAAACTTTATAAGATATGCTGTACAAATTCTGGCAAATTATGTTCTTAAATTGAAATAATTTCATCTAAACAACTTAAAATAACATATATTGTCGGATATGTGATGTATCGTGTTAATTACATCCGCACCACTCGATACACGTGATACTGTTGATAATTAGAAAAAGTTACCATTATTAATGTAAATATCAATATCGAATATAAATATGAACATGCTCTACTTCATCATGACTAAAGATAATATAAGACAATATAATATATAATAAATATAACAATTTTAAATAATTTAAATATGTATTAAAACAGCGTTCGTGTCCCTTCTTGAGTGATTGTAACTGCATCTTTATTATTTTTTTATTATGTACGCAGAGATGCACCTGTCACGGCAAATAAATTCATTTTAATGAATTGTTTATTTTTGTTTTTATTTTCATAGGACTGATTAAGCTCCGCTATTTCAAAAGGAGACATTTTACGACAATAAAACAAATCAATTGAGAATTCTGTGCGAATCAATTAAAAGAATAGAAGAAACAATAAACCAACAATCTACTAAACTGTTGGCTAAGACAAAAAAACGAAAATGTATTATAATTCAAGACCTCCGATTGGCTTTACCAACCATGTACTTGGCTACGATGAACCAAAGATTCTTCGAAAACAAGTAAAAACAGTCGAAGTAGGTATTCGAAATAATATAATTATTGTAAGAAAATGAAAAATTATATTACAAATTGTCAATATGCTTATCTTTGCAAGAACAATAATAATATAATTGAATTAGCCCAGTTATATGATTTAAATATTAATAGAGTTTATTGTTGGCCTATTTTTGTTTTTGTAGTATTGAATAATCTCGATTTTCTTAATTAAGTTTTTCAATCTCAAGTGATAAAGTTACGACTTATCGGCAGCTTACTTTTATCAAAAAAAAATATCTTATTTACCAAGTGTCGTTATAAATTAGAAACGTGACTAGTACGGAAAAAGAGAGAGAAAAAACCCCAACAACAACAACGACAACAAAAAAAAAGAAAAAAGAAATTGATTATTCTTTTTTTATTGCTTAATATTTTTCTAATATTTGTATTTTCTATTTATCTACAGGAATGACAATTTTCTCTATATATAAGATGAGCATTACTCCGCGAAATGATTACAATGAAATTTATTGAACTCGATACTTATCTTACTGCAGTATAATATATTGTTATCACATTTCTTTTTAAAAGAACACTTTTTTCTTTCTTTTTCTTTTTTTTTTGTTGCTTTGCTTGCTTGCTTGCTTGTTTGTTTGTTTATACTGGAACATAGTGTAAGCAATTAATTCATTACAGATATATGCTAGAACTTTGGTAAAATATTGCTTAAAGTCCTGCGTGAATTTATTCGATATTGGAGAGACAGGGAGAGAGAGAGAGAGAGAGAGAGAGAGAGAGAGAGAGAGAGAGAGAGAGTGAGAGAGAGAAAAGAAAATGACGGAAGGATAGTAAGAAGAAAATGTTAAGTCACACTTTGCAATCTTTCATTATTTCATTCCTTATTTTCAAATTCCTATCGTTGGAATTCTGTACGTATGTCGCGTACGTAGCCTCCCACATAATTGCATAGAGCATCGCGACTCTCCATTACGCAATCGTAATGCACGAGATAACACCTTTTTATTTTTTTTTTATTTTTTATATCTAAACTCGTCGACAGCCACGCCACCATGGGAAATCGGTCCAAAGAGAATACTCCTCGAGGGGTCTCTTCCACATCCTCGATGATCCACCTTCTTCGTCACTTCCTTCGATAAACATTATTAGCCGGCAGGCTCTAAACGTCGCACGGCTCAACTTCTTAAGTAATTCGATCGAAATGTCACAGCGTCATGGAATAAACGAGCCGCGCAGCAGTGGCCTTGAACCTAACCTAACGCGCGAAGAAGGCCGAGGAGGTCGAGGGAGAGGCAAGCCCATCGATCGACCCATCATTGTTGACGAAGCCAGCTATAGGAAACCATCCGAGTATCCCCACCGGGCGACTCACTCGCGCGTAGCACGATCCTCTCGACGTCCCCGGCGCGTAACGCAAGGAAGGCGGACGGACGATACGATATGTTGGGCCGCTGACGCAACAATTGTCCGCCGAGACGAGTATGTCATGGTCGCGGCGAGAGTGGCGCAGTCGCGTGTCGTCGGCGCGAAGATTCTTTCCAATCGTCGAGGAGAATTTTGACGGCTCCGGCCTCCTCCTCCTCCTCCTCCTCCTCCTCCTCCTCCTCCTGCACATCCCCTTACCCCACCCCCTCGGTAACCACCAACGGCTTTGATCGGAA